GTTAGCCTTTCATTTAGTAAGTCATCATAAAAGTTACCTTGATAATACGGTGGAATGTGCATCCCTTGTAACTCAAAGGCTTGCCACTTTTACCTGTTCCTTTTTCGCCTGCATACATCATTGTTATATAAGCCTATCTTCTTAGGTGTCTTGGTTACATACCTGTACAGAGAGCACGGAAATTCTCTGCTGTCTTGGGAACAATATCCTTAAACTATCAGAGTTGTTAGTTTATGTCGTTTCTCGACAAGGTAAAGCAGACTTACAAGTTCAAAGACAACACGGCCTTCAGGCTTGCCTCCAATAGTGATATCAAAGTATCTATAGAATACATGAGCATTTATCTTTTATAGATACACAGTTACTTACACGCGTGGGTTGGGCATGGTTTGTAAAAACTTGTGTAAAAAGAAAAATTCTGCGTGTTTCGATAAAGTTACGAACCTTCAGACTCAACTCTGGCTTAAAAAAATACTTGTCGGAACTCAAAATTTCTTGGTCCGCTTTCCATCACTTTCGATACGTTTACCTTAATTGGAAAGTGTATCCATACAGTGATTTGCGTTTAAAATTTAAGATTTTGAAAAATAAAATGGCCTAGTTGGCGAAACAGAGATGGAGGATGTGATTATAGGCCTTTGGGCCGCGCTTTTATTGTCATAATTATATAAAAAATAAATTTTCTGCATTCTAGGTCCCTTACCTGAAAAGCTACCAAGAATTTTAGAGCGAGTTAGGGCTGGGAAAAGGCCACCAGGACTGGCATCAAAGGCGGGTGTTGTAGAACAATGTCTGCTTATGACTGACATTGAGATAAACGACTGCAATCAGTATGAATAGAGTGAATTCATACATTATAAGATTACGTGTACACACTTTTAGTGATAAGGCAAATTAAATAGAATCTTTTCTTTGAATATGAATCATTACCTCTTTATATAAAAGGATATACTTCTTTAAACGATCATCCTTATGGTAAAAGCAGTATTATAACCCAGATCATGAAATGAAAAGCTTTCTTTATTAACTCAGGAACTGTTAGCCAGTCAAACCCTCAGTAATTATAATCCACACTTAGAATAATGGCTTACCGGTCATTTAATAGCAACTATAAATAGTAGACACTTAACTTACATGTATGTTCCTTCTGTCTTTATCTCAGAATAAAAATTAGTCTCAAAGAGTACTTCTTTTGTCTTTGTCTTATGACTTGTAAACCACAATATAACAACTGCCAATAAAAGATATACAAATATCATAAAACAAACAACTGATTTTATTCCCATTTACTATAATACAAATATAAATTCATACTCGTTGATTTATGTTGCTAATAAAAAAAAATCAAATGCAAACATCTAAACTTGGAGTGCAAATCAAATTTACAACGAGTATATACTACACTGTGATAACAAGACAACACACCTCTCTTAGCTTCAAAACAATAAAGTTTCTACTGACGGGGATAACCATGTGAAGGTGGAAGTGATTCTACTCTCAAAAAGTGTCAAAACACCGTGATTACGATGCAATTCAAGAACGACTGCCGCCTGGTCGTTTTACATGATTAACAATGAATTAAATAGGTGAACACTACGCGCACGAGGAAATCCACGAGGAGCTAATGCTATAGGCGCTTCCTTGGGACACTACATGTGATATCATTTTACAGCTTTACATTACCAGAACGTTTATTAACCTAAGACTGTACAATGGGATATTCTTTGATAGAAAATACGAACTTATCATAATTACTCTTGAATTACCTTGATTCTTTGTTGATCAACCAGCAATATAAAATAAACATATATAACGTTTATTTTTATCTCTTTCTTTTTGAAACTTTATAAAAGTCATATTCTACATCAAGAAACATGGAAAGATATCTGTTCTCTGAACAAGTTTAGCTTGATGCCATACATTGAAAATGTTTGTTGACGACATCACAGGTAGTGCTCGTAACATAACCCTTCCGTGGATTTCCTCGTGCGCGTAGTGTACACCTTCTTTTCAGAACAAAAGTCGCCCAAACTGGGAAAAGATTGCATTTTGCATTCATGATAAAAGATTGGGGATCGTTCCTCCACCTCTTGACTCAGCCATAAATTTTTATAATCGTGTTAGCGAAACTCTGGATATTCCATTAATTACAATAGAATACATTGATTCAACCATAGAAGCTACCAGTACAACCAATACCAGCAAAAAGTAAATGGAGCTATGTGAAAGCGATAAAATCAAAATCATACAGATATTTGAGAGCTTAGAATTAGATAAATGCTAGAAATTATCCACAGAAACTATGGTGGAAGAAACAATGAAGGGGTTTGCAGTTGGATACAATTACGAGCAGTAAGTACCATTAAAGATCACTGAAGTCAAAAAGGTAGCGTTAACCTTGTATTAACCCGGTACATTCTTTAGTTCTAGATACAAACGATAACTTATGGAAAAAGTACTTTACGGAAGAAGAGCTTTTGGAAATCGACACTCAGCAAGAACGAATTTCAATGGTGGAAGGCATTAGCAACAATAAAGAATGGACTATCTATACAAGCACTACCGACCTCAACACCAACAATTCAGATTCATGTAGACGCATCCAACTCACAATGGAGGATCAGCTCCTCGATGATATCAACAAAAGGATAGTGTTAACTACGTACCCACTTGGATTTAATAAAAGATTGTTTAACCGTACAAGCAAAACTTTCTACTACTAAGGCTGAAATAGCTCAATTATAGCAGCGAAACGCCTCTCTCAATGAGGGTCTAGCTCAGTTCTCTCTTCAGCTGTCACTCATCCATTTAAATTGATTGTATCCTGCACTTTTCCAACAGTACACTTTCTATCCTTAGTCTCCAAAAGGGGATTTTTTAGCCTCCATAACTGTCCTTTTGAGCTCGCCCGTGCGGCCATTATTATTGTGCTCAATGGGGCGCTATATTAATTAAAATCCTTTTTAAAAAAGCATTTTTAGTCTGTCAGCCTAAAAATAAAGAATACCTTAAAACTTACTGTAGTAACGACTTACAAAGACTCTTCTGTAATTCATAACATTTAGAAAACGGTTTATCCAATAAAATTATGTCGTTTATGCCAAGATCCGACTCATTAAAGGTGCCCTTAGTTCTTCTAATTTAACGTCAATAAAGTATAGCCTGCTTCATTCAATTATCAAGTGTAGCCTAACCTACTGAGAATCTCAAAACCTTTACTCTATAGGATGCTTTTCGTTAACAGTTTAGCAAAAAACGCTTGTAGTATTTGTGAAGATAAAAGTATTAAACTTAAAAGTCAATGGGACAAAAGAATTATATGTTTATTAAGGAAATGCCTTATTAACTTATATATGGCTATTGATACGTAGGGATTTTACTTTTCTACACTTTGTGAGGGTTTTCATTTAATGTCAAAGTGTTACCCTTGCAGTTATACCTCAGTGAGGCTTCTAGGCCGTTTATATAAGTGAGCCTCTAAACTGATGGATGCTATGTATACGATGTATCATCTTTTGTATGTTTCTGTTAACTTACCAAAGGTATGCTCCTCCATTCTCGCTGAACAGCAATCTTCTGTCATTAACATTCTTTACTAATTATAGTCGGATCAATTAATAAATGATTTTTGTATTTCAGTGCTTAAACTTTTGATTTAATGGCTTTATTTCTATTGTAAAATAGAAAAGGCAACCCCTTTCTTTATTTTCAGGCTTGTGTACCCTCTCCCTAATTTGACATGAATTGTTCTATATCGTTCCTCAGCTTTATGACAACATTTATCTTTCCGGTTGCCGACAGTCACGGCCCATCAGGCCGTCTATTCAAGTAGTGCATAGCTCATTCTTGCTTTTTCTCATGTGTCTAAATCACTTCTTTGTTCTTTTGTTGATCCTTTTTTGGTTGCTTCTTGCTCTCTTTTGATAGCATTGAGCACATTTACAACTCCAGATTCATTGATATAGCATACATCATTACTTACTCTTCACTTTCATGGCGCACAAGATTAATGGACCGTGCTTGAATGAGATATTATGACTGATTTAGTCTCTTTCTTAAAGAGCAGAGTAACACAAAGAAGTGTCTTGATGTCTTTTGTGTTACATGATGATCCATAAGGACATAGATATGAATTGTATTAATAAAACACTAAGAATGAAAGAAAGAAAGAAAAGGAAGACAACGGCATAAAAGAGCCACATTTGATTGATGCCGATTTCAAGTGATGCTAGTATGTACCTCCTTGCTCCCTGTGTACTTTTTTTTTTCTGCAAGATCTGACTTTGTGTTCCTCTTCCGGGTTAGGTTGCACGTTGTATATTAAGCTCTTCTTTTTTCATTTTCCTTCTTTTTCTTGTCCTTCTAATGCAACAAACGAATATAAAACATGTTTATATAACATCTGTCATTGTTTGTATTCTACTGTGGCTGATTATCTACAAGATACCCGATTATTATCCAAAATCACCTTACTATGAATCAGACAGCCAAGAAGATCAGCAATGTACACCAACTACCTTTCATATTGGAGAATGGGTCTATGATCCTTCATCAAATATGCTTCCAAAATATCATTGTATAAAGAAAAAGTTTGCTCATAGATGTTACCAAAGACTATCTGAACCAGAAGAAATAGATCGATCAAGACAAATGTAAGCTCCCTTCTTGTTTGATCATATAACTGACTGCTATCATAAAGAATGAATTATAGATGGAAACCATCTCAGTGTCAGCTACAGCCATTTGATAACGATTTAGTAGCAGATCACTTGTTACAGAACCCAGTTTTATTCGTCGGTGACTCCATCACACAGCTTCAATTTGAAAGTTTGAGCTGTCTATTAGGACACCGATTTGGTAAAAGAGAAGTCACTGTCAATGGTGGAAATCCAAGGATTCGGGTGAATGAGATTGGTGATGCAAACAAGACAGCTGTGGCATATATCCGTTCGGACTATTTGCTAAGAGTGAATGATTTTAAGGTGATGGAACCCTTTGACTCTGCAGGTGCTCAATTAGGCTCGGGAGAAAATTACCCTTGGTAAGAAAACAGAAAGGGGGGAATAAAAAACACAATGATTGATAATTCACTGTAGGGTTCATGCTATACCAAACTTCAAATACATTGTTATCAATACTGTAAGTTGACTGACTTTTCTTTTATTTCAAACTAACAATCTATTAGGGCCCTCATTGGCATCCTCACGAAATTTGGGGCCCTAGTCGATCAGAAGATGAGTTATTATCTGCCTTTGAGAAAGCAATGACACAATTGTACAATTATTTAAAAGATAACGTGCGACAAGATCAAACTGTATGGATTAGAACCACACCACATGGACACGCCAATTGTTCTCAGTATACATTACCTCAATCTACACCCATTGCTCCTTCAGGGAAGCCTGGTGAATACGAGTGGCATTTGTTTAAAGAATTTGATTCGATATGGAAAAATATCATTCAGAGAGATAATGATGCACGTTTCCAGATATTTGATGTTGCTCTAATGACAAACAAGCGAGGTGATGCCCATTCAAGGCCAGATAAAGACTGTTTACATACATGCATACCCGGCCCAGTAGATTATTGGAATATGGGTCTTTTCTCCTTCATTTAGAATAAAAAGTTATTCTTTCTCTCTTTCTATCTTACAGCAAGAACCTCAAATTTATCAAATCTGATTGCCTGAGTTTAAACTTAAAAGCTGTAAGCCACAGGCAACCGCAATTCTTTTTTGAATAATAATAAAAAAAAACATTTTTGACATTTCCGCAACTTCTTTTTTCAAGTAGTTCCCGCTTTTATTCATAGTAAAGTAGTTACTTTTTGTCTATGGCGACTACAACACTTCAACTCTACTGGGATCTCGCCTCATTCGACCCAAATGTGAGGCAAACCGCCGCTCAGTCTCTTATAAAAACACTCGCAGACTTTCAAAAGACACATGAAGAAAACTTGGAACAGCTCAGCATTGCAGACACAGAAGAAAAACTAGATGCTCTTTGTGCATCGGATGTATCATATGCTGTACGTCGTCTTATTAGAGGTCTCTCTTCTTCTCGACAAGGTGCTCGTCAAGGCTTTTCTCTAGCTTTAACTGAGGTAAGTTTACACACAAGTTGTAAAATGGAAAACATGTGCTGAGATCGGGACTTTTTGTATAGTTGTTAGCTATTGTCGACCTAATTTCTACTAAACTTGTGCTTGATCTCTTGTTTAAATGGACTGAAGTGACTGGATCATTGAAAGGAGACGAAGTACGTGACATGCTCTTTGGTCGTCTCTTTGGCTTAATGTCTATTGTTGCCGCTGGCATGATCACAAGAGAATCGACCACAACTGATGACATTGTTCGCATCTTGACAAGTTTACACGAAATGGGCTCTTTAAAGTCTTACTTGGCTGAAGTGTGTCACCATGTTGTGATTAATATGCTCCCTTATGTAAGCTGGACATATTGCTTTTCAGCAAAATACTCATCTCTGCCATTTTATAGGTCAAGGACACTCAACACCAGGAAATTGCTGTTGAAAAGATAAAGGAACTCTATTTCAACGGCCCTATCAGTAATGTTGATCAGCTTAATCTTGTGATAGCACTTCAACAACTTAACAACGTTGACTTGACCGAACAGTTTGCCAACTGGAAGAGTCAGACCATCCTGGCACCTGCCAATTTGCCTCGATTAGCACGTATTCTTCGTGAAGCACCTGAAGATCCCCAGGAATCTACCGCAGAATGGAAGCCTCAGTTGCATTCTGTCTGGGACCCTATCTTGGATGTTTACTTTCAGTCAAAACAGCCCAAGGGAATTGCCTCTTTTCAAGAGTTTTGGATTGTGTGTGTTGACAGTAAGTTTTAAATGATATCCAACTCTTTTTTTTGTTTAAACTGTTTCTTTGTAGATTCCATGTTTGATATTAATGCTAGCCATGGACGTAAGTTCTGGGGATTCCAACTTGTTGAAAAGGTGTTGCATCGCTTATCCCCTGAGCAAATGCCTCTCATCTTTACGGCTAACTTTATGAGAACCTTTATCAACAACCTTTCATCTGATGTTCGTTTCCTTTATAACGCTGCTAGACATACTGTAAGTCATAGCTCCTTTTCTTTTTCTTGATGTGCTCACACATGTTTTCTTTATAGGCACAAGAAATTCAATCCGTTGCTGAAAAGAATAAGAAAGTTGGCTTTGCTCTTGTCACCCAATTGTTGGGTAAGCATGGCCACCAAAACTTTGACAAGATTACACGCACTAAGACCGTGGAGAACCTTCTGACGACTATGGACGCTGAAGGAATTCAATCCTACTTAGAATACCTTGCTGAAACATTCACCAATACCCAAGAGGATGCTAGTGAAACTAGCCGTCAATGGGCATTAAACCAGATGACACTCTTGGCAACAAATACTAAAGTACCAAAGCAGGAAGAATGGGTCATTAAGCTTGTTGAGTTCATGATGACTTACGCATTCTTTAATGTCAAAACAGCAAGCAAGAAAAACAAGTCGTCTTATTTAAGCACATTGCATAAGCCTTCGCCACCTCTCTCGGCTACTACTGTCAAATATTGTCAAGACAAATTCCAATTTGTATTGGTTGGTTTGTCCAAGCTGTCTCCCTTAGACAATCAAAAGATTGAAGCTCTCAAGTCTCACAAGCGTGATGGATACATGAAGAATAATGAACTTTGGGTACACAAAGTCCTTTCAATCTATCAAGCATTGGAAAAAAACAACAGCTTGACACCTCGTTTAGAGCTTGCCAAGGAAACCAAGGAAATGATTGACAAGGCAATGAAGAAGGTTGAAAAATTGGACGCTAAAAAGGATGAAGATAACTATGAAAGCTTAGAACGTGGTTTCCAAATCTTACTTCTTTATGTCATTACACATGTTTGGTACAACGAAGAAGAAGGAGTGTCTATCCTTTCCGAATTGATGGATTGTCATCAAAAGTTATTCGCTGAAAAGAAGAGCAAAAAGAAGAGCAAAGAAGAGCAGCCTGATCCTATAGATGTCGTTGTGGACATCTTGGTTTCGTTCTTGACCAACCCATCGCCTGTACTCAAAAATATAGCTGAAAGAGTGTTTGGTATCTTTTCACACAAGCTAACCAGACAATCACTTGAAATTCTGTTGAACATCTTGGCCTCAGGCGAAGACAAACAAGAAGATGACTTATTTGATCAAGAAGATGACGAAGATGATGAAGAGGATGATGATGTGGAAATGATTGATGCTGACGATATCGAAGAGATTGAAGATGAGGATAACGAAGATGTAGATGAAGAACTTCGTCAAAAGGTCGAAGAAGCCATGAAGGCTCAAGGAATTAATGCTGTAGATGATGAATCAGATGAGGACTTGGATGATGAAGCTATGGCAGCCTTTGACGAAAAGCTGGCCGAAGTATTTAAGCAAAAGAAGCTTGCTAAGCAAGAAAAGAACAATATGCAACAAAGCGTTGTTCACTTCAAGAACAACGTGATGGAACTTGTAGCCATTTATGCCCGCAAGAATCCTACGAACCCTCTTGTGCTTTCCTTGATCACGCCTCTGTTGAACATCATTCGTTCTACACCTGTCAAATCAGCCACGAATCAATTTGTCGAAAAGGTCGTTGCGTTCCTTAGAAACCGTTTGGCCAAATCAACCGAATATCCCAAGGATTACGCCGATGACTCCGTCTTTGATATTCTTCAGTCTGTTCATGACTTTGCCAAACACTCTACGTCTAAAGAAATATCCGATATGTGCGTCCAATTGACCATCTACTTGCGCAAAGTGATTCTGAGCACTGGTGCTGATTTTGAAATAACATCTGATTTAGATAAAAAGCAAAAGGTGCGCTTAGACAAGATGCTGGCCATATATGGTGAATCATGTAAGCTGTATCTTAGCAAAAAATCAACTGCTTTCTCGGCAAGTATAGTTCAACAATTAATACAGCGTTACCCTCTAAGTTCTTGGGGTCTGTTGGATACCTTAACTGCATATCTAAATCGTGAAGCATGCGCAAATAACTATAGATTAACTATGGTATGTCAATGGGTAGGCATGATCACTCAGCGTGCTGTTAGCAAGAAACATAGTGTATATGAGGAAAAATTCAAACAAATGCTGCCTCAATTGGCAGAGCCAATAAATGCAACTATAGAACAATGCCAACAAGAAAACAGCAAAATAGACAATCAAACCAGAAAGGCATTTAACAAGCTTGTTTCCCAATTAATCAGGCTGTACAATAACCTCGGAGTTGACTCTCCATTTAAACCATTGACTTCTTAATAAACTTATACACATTTGAGTCATTATTATTATAATTATTATTGAGACAACGTAAAGCTATGTGTTTATTAAGATGTTTATATGAAAGGGGATGATATTTACAATTCATGAGCATTACGGAAGTTTTCACCAGCGTAGATACAGTTTTCACCCAATTCTTCTTCAATACGGAGAAGTTGGTTGTACTTGGCAAGACGTTCAGAACGGCAAGGAGCACCAGTCTTGATTTGACCAGTACGGAGACCGACGACAAGATCAGCAATGGTAGTATCTTCAGTTTCACCAGATCTGTGAGAGACCATGACACCCCAACCGTTGGCTTGAGAGTCCTTGGCAGCTTGGATAGATTCGGTGAGGGTACCGATTTGGTTGACCTTGAGCAAGAGAGCATTACAGGCCTTCTTTTCGATAGCAGTGGCGATACGCTTGGGGTTGGTGACCAAAAGATCATCACCGACCAATTGGAAGTCAGAAGAAGCGTTCAAGTGAGCCCAGTTCTCCCAGTCATCTTGATCGAAAGCATCTTCAATAGAGACGACTATAGTAGAGTTAGTTACTGTTTCAACCTACGCCTTGGGTATATAATACTTACTAGGGTATTTTTGAGCAAAGGAGTTGTAGAGAGCTGTAAGTTCTTTACCATCGATCCATTCAGACTTGTCAGAGTTGGGGTTCTTGAAGTCAAGATCGTACTTGCCCTCCTTGTAGAACTCAGAGGCAGCAACGTCCATACCAATCTTGACCTTGCCAGTGTAACCAGCCTTTTCGATAGCTTGAACCAAGAGTTCGAGACCTTCTTCGTTCTTTTGAATATTGGGAGCAAAACCACCTTCGTCACCGACATTGGTGGCGTCCAAACCATACTTGGCCTTGATGACAGATTGGAGGTTGTGGTAAACTTCAGAACCAATCTTCATGGCTTCTCTGAAGCTCTTGGCACCAGTAGGAAGAATCATGAATTCTTGCATGGCAAGCTTGTTACCAGCATGAGAACCACCGTTGATAACGTTGAAGGCAGGAACGGGAAGAACGAAGGGCTTCTTGGAACCAGCCAAGTCGGCAAAGTGAACATAGAGAGGAACACCCTTATCACCAGCGGCAGCTTTGGCAACGGCAAGAGAGACACCGAGAATAGCGTTGGCACCGAGCTTACCTTTGTTGGGGGTACCATCTAATTGGATTAGGAATTCATCAATTTGCTTTTGTTCAGTAACAGGAATATTGGATTCGACTAAGGCAGGACCAATGATAGTGTTGACGTTGTTAACGGCCTTGGTAACACCTAATAGAATATAAGTATTTTTATATTTCTCAAAGCATTTGACACGTTACCCTTTCCCATGTATTGGGACTTGTCTCCATCACGGAGTTCAAGTGCTTCGTGGATACCAGTAGATGCGCCAGAGGGGACAGCAGCACGGAAGACACCCTTTGCGGTGGTAACTTCGACTTCAACAGTAGGGTTACCACGAGAATCGAAGATTTGACGAGCATGAACCTTGGTAACGGTAGACATTTTCTTTAAAATAAAAAAATTTTATAAAGAAAAAAAAAGAAATGGAAACTGAAAGAAAAAGTGTCGAGTTTTTATACTGTATTCATAACGCGCAACAGTCACCAAAGAAACCCATGCCGAGAATGGGAAAAAAAGTTTTATTTGCATCAATCTATTACAAGTCCGAAGAAGTACGCGTTTCGTTTGTTGACAACTTGACGAAATGTAGTAAATGAGATCATTTTTTCCTTCTCTTTTTTTTGCGATGTATTGCACTGTGTTTACAATGAATTCATGAAAACCTTTCTTAATTACGATGTATCTCGATAACATCTTTATCCTTCTCTTTTTCTGGTAGGGTCACTCATCTCCAGGTGGGATGATGGTTATTATATGGCATATGATGTGTGTGCATTATCCATCAAGATCAGAACTCCGAAAGATGACTTTAATAGCCTTTTGAAGAGAAAGAGAAAGAGACAATCGAATGAAATTGCATATCTGTGTCATATATATTTCAAGCATATGCTGTATAGGTGCTCAAGTACGATTTGATATCAGAGAGGTTCAAGGTACTCACTTGTCTTTATTGATACTGAATGACCTAAAATCCTCTTTTGTGGTCCCTTTCTGATTAAGTTGATAATGATGGGACTCAGCGATAAACAATCATTTTCAATAACCGACATCATTGTATGTCTCTCTCTCTCTCACTGTCTCTCAATATCAAAAGATTACGCTTGATAAAGCACAAAGTGGAGTTGTGCGTGTGCCTATCTAGACTTCTTTTGATTTTCTATTTTAAACTACACCATTACTTTAAAAAATAGCAACATGTATTCAATAAAGGGATAATTTCTCTCATTTCCTGTTGTTACACTTTCAATTAGCACTGAATCACTCATAAGCATCTTGTCCCTGTCCCTTTTATTCCCACAAACACACAGATAGGCTTGTCTACACAGCGTGTCAGTTACATTCAATCACTATTGGCTGAAATTGAAAGTTTGGTAACTAAAGAGTCACAGCTAAATGGAAAAGTGACAGGGAGCACTATTTCTTCATGTCAGTTTTAAAAAGTGTCATTCCAAAGACGGGCAAGATTGTCAGTCGATTAGGCTTTGGGGGCTACCGTGTCAATCAAGAAAGACATGCACAGGCATTAGTAGCTGCTATTGAAAGCGGTATTAATATCATTGATACTGCACATAACTTTGGACAAGGTAAGTTTTTCTCGTGAATTTCTTCATAAATTGGGTCTGATAACAATGATAACTGTATAGGTGCGTCGGAAAGATGGATTGGCAATACATTAGAAAAGATGATATCAGACGGAAGAATATCAAGAGAGGTATTATATTTATAAAAAGAAAGAACGAATATTTTTTTTAACGATAAAAAGGATGTTGCCATAGTAACTAAATCGGGCTATTTAACCCCATCAGATGCTTCACTGTTCAGTCCTTCTGATTACGTTCAATTGAATGAGAAAAATTATCATTCAATAAGCCCAAAAGTGATTGAAAAACAGATTGAAACGTCTCTTCAAAGATTAAAGACAAATAAAATAGATATCTTCATGATCAATGCTCCCGAACGTATGCTGATGGCAAAGAACAAGGTATATCATTATATATTCTTTAAAAATAAGTATTAGCTTACCAAAAGAGTGAGAATAGGTGTATTCCACAAACCAATTATATAAAGATCTATCTGAAAGTTTCCGCTACCTCGACAGCCTAGTATCCAGTGACACCATTAGCGGCTACGGCGTCTGTTCAAACACAATGGCATTCCCAGGAGCAGCAGATCACGTTTCGTTGGAAAAGGTCATTGAATCATGTTCGCATATCGATCACTTTGCAGCCATTCAGGTCCCTTTTAATCTTTTTGAACGAGAAGCGATCGTACAAGAAGACAATCAAACTGTTGCTGACGTTGCCGAGAAGCACGGTATTTATATCACGACAAACAGACCTCTGAACGCTATTGCCAATGGACAAATACGCGTCTTGGTGAATCACGTGTTAGGCGCTAACGGAAAGGGGCCCAGTAAGTTTAGTTTATTATTTATAATAAGTATATTCACCCTTTGCTATAGCCGAACATGAAATCATGGACAAGATGAGTCAATCTTTTGAACGAGTCGCCAAATTAGAATCAGACATGATATCAGAATGTAATGTGCATTTTGATGTTGTATAAAATAGCTACTAATCTCTTTCTTTTAGTACCCTTAGAAGAAGAAACACTTGCAGCCAAGTTTGTTTGGGGACAAGTGCTCTCAGAAAACTTGGCAAGACTTGCTCAAAATCATTTTGCAACAAAACATTATTTGCTACACCAGGTATTGCCTGCTGTTGAAAAGGATCTTGACTCCCTTCAAGATTATGCAAAGGAGCTAGATGGAGAACTTGCAATGTATCAAGCATGGATAAATCAATACAAAGAGGTAAATCTAGACTAATGTCATTTTCTATTCTTTATCTAATATACAACTAGAATATTCATGAATTAGCAAACCATATTATAGACTATGCATATATAGATACCCTACGTAAGAACAATGAACTTGACCGCATCTTGAATGCATTATGTCCTACCTTAAACACACAAGAAGACCATCATTCACCCTTGACTGTTAAGATGCTACGATTCCTCTTATCACATGAACAAGTAGGAACTGTATTCACTGGTATGAGAGACCCACTCTATGTAAAGGATGCTGTCTTTGCAGTTAGTCAAGACCCTGTTGACAGTGAAAACTTGCAAGATGTCTGGCAGTGTCCAATTGCTTAATTTAAAACTCAGTGCCGCGTCATTCTTGCGATTTTCCAAACCATTTCTTTCTTTCTTGTTCTTTTTAATAAACATAATTCCAACTGATGAGTCTTTTTCCTACTGCACAAAGAAACAATTATCTCGTTGAATTTAATGCAGGAAAGTGTATCAGAGAAGGCACAACCATAAAGCCTGACACAAGAAAGGGGTAAATTCAAAGAAAATGGACTAAATGAGTCAAAAGCTTATGTATTTACTTTTTAGTGTCATTTACTTGGAACAAGTAAAACAATTACAAAAAAAGAAAGAAATAAAGCATTAATGCGTGAAATAGGGTGACGACCAGCTATTACATTTTTATTGGAAAGAAAGAAAACATAACGTGGAGCCTGAAGACGTAAGAGACCAAAGAAAGATACATACATGATATTAAGAAAAATATCTATAGGATTTTATTATATTTCCTGAAGAAGCAGAATTCATCAGAGTGGAACAGTGTACAACTGGTCGCGTCTATGTGCTCAAGTTTAAATCATCAAACCAAAAGCAATTTTATTGGATGCAAAGCAAGAGTGATGAAAAGGACAGCGACATTGTACGTCGAGTCAATCAAGTCATCGATGACCCTTCTAGTGCAGCAGAACAAAATGGTTTTGACAACAGCGCTCAATCTGACTTTATGCAAATCCTTAGTGGAGGTGGACAAGACGACTTGCCTATGAGTCAAGAAAACCTATTACAGTTTATCCAGAATGCAAGTGGATTAGGGTAAATGATAAAGAAAAACACGCTTAGCCTTTGAGTATTAACGATATTTCTATCAGTAGCTCTTTATCTCGTCAAGCAGAGATCCTTACGAGCTCTCGATGGAATCAGTTGAAGGAAAAACTAGACCGAATCTCAGCAGAAGAACAAGCTCAGCTGGATATAGGCGATGTCTTGAATACAGACACAGTCAACATAATCTTGCGTGATGACGACATCCGTAATGCGCTTTTCCCATTTGTAAGCGCAACCGACTCGAGAAGAACACCAGAACAAGTTCAGCAATTGGTGCAAAACCAACAATTTCAAAACAGATTGCAAACCATTCATAAAGCCATTCAGCAAGATGAGCTGAATAGTATACTTGAAGATTTACACGCTGAAAAGAGTAAATATTACATTATTAAAAAATAGGCTCGTTCTAACAACATGAATATAGATTTAAAGTCTTTCTTGAAGGCAGTTGAAGATCAAGCAAAACGAAAACATGAAGATGCAATGGAAGAAGATTTATAAAATGTCACAAGAATAAAAATGACCAAACAATATTTTTCTTTTAAAAGTTCAGTGTATCTACTCTTGTGTTTATTATTGTTATTCTTTGTCTTTATGTAGACCCAATCTTTACTAGGTCCTTGTCGTAAAGAGGTTCTGTAAAGACATTTATAAAGAAAAGAAAAAAAAAGATTTTTTACTGAGTTTTAACGGCGATGATAACGTTGACGTGCTTGTTGAACTTCGTCATAGCTTTTAACTCTTCTTGACCTGTATTGACGTATCCTTTCGTATTTATAAATTAAATTTCCAATATCTTTAGCAACAACGAATAAGCATCCTCCCAAAACATTGCGCTGAAATGTTTCTGGGAAATAGTGTCTAATCCACTTTGATTTATAGAGCAATCCACCTATTAGACTGCTGAACGTTGGCCATAGTAAAGCGCTAATGAGAGATAGACCTATACTGCCCCCACGGCCATTGATCATTTCCAGTTCGAGATTTCTTTCTCTATCGGATATGTTTTCTTCTCCACTTATGGATGATCGTCTTCTGCTGAATATGTTGCTGTTGGCACTGTTGGTAATGATAGAAGGCTCTTGTAATGAAAGCGACCTTGTAATGTATCGCTGAGTCAATGTGTATGCATTTCTATAAAATACACTATTTAAATAGTGTTAAACCATTTTAGTCAACTATATACAATATAAAAGGTACATACCAAATCCAGGGTATCACGCCAAATGTTAATGCAGCAGGTGAGACAGATGACCTAAACCAGCCGCCCTCGGGACGGTAACCGATGGCTCGTATGAAGGATGCCGCAGCGACTGGCAAAATAAAGTCTCCCCAACGTGTCTTGGTTGAAATGAGTGTTATAGGTATCATTGGTAATCCAATCCAAGTTTTCCAAGTCCAACTGTTTGGGTTGCCAATCAGTCGCTCCCCTTCTTTTTGACCAAACATGACCATGATAGAATAAGCTCCATAGGTTGTGCATGTGATCAATATCGAGCAACCTACGCCAAGAACGGTGATATAGGGTGCACTTGTTCGAACCAGTGAATCCATCAATGTTAATAAGGCTAGTGTAATACTGTTTCGTTGTGCAAGATGATACTCGGCTGAACACTGTGGGCAACGTACCTATGATCATTTTTGTTACTATTTTCTTTGTTACGATAACGAACGCCTTACTGTCTTTGTAGGTGATGCCTTTTGATTTTCTGCAATCCAGTCCAAGAGACAAGACTGGTGTGCCTCCAAGGAACATTGACAAGGCTTAACCCATTTTCCTTGTGAATCCGAATTGTCTCCAAAACAGATCCAGCAACGACGTTCTGAAGCAGCTGTCATGTGTGTATGTGGTAATGGCCTTGAGGCTAATATTGTGGATGAATCTGAAGAAGAATTAGAGTGAGCACTATTGTTGCTACTGGTAGTCATATTGCTGTGAACAGAAGTATTATCCTCCTCATTTAAGCTGTGGTCAATATTGTTGACAGTATCAAGCATTTCTTGTTCAATGGGTCTTGTAGTTCTGGGAAACCTAAAATGAGACATACGAAAGAAGAATGCGTTGCGGAGATGCATTGACTTTTTTTGGGGCCTAGCGCGATTTTATTCATGAAAAACAGATAATGAAAATGGGGAACATGGCAACTTGCACTCTTCCTTTAACCAACAATTTATCGAGATGATATAATTGATATTCCATTATTTCACACGTAATCGTTACTTTCAAGAATGCATAAAAAAAAAATCTTTTTTTGTTTCATAAAGAACGCAGCTACTTGAGTAATCAACATGAATAATATTGACAACATTTAACTGAATACAGTGTGAAATTATATTGTGTAAAAGTGAAAAGACCATTGAAACATAAGCATCATTGGTCCATTCAACCAATAGATAAAAATATGTAAAGAGCGGTGCTTAACAATCTAAACGCTGTTATCTGTAGAAATCGTTCTTATGAGCCTACAAAAAAACATGCCTTGACAAAGATTACTTTTTACACAGATCCAATGTTTGCCTAGAAAGTGCTCCTCCAGGTAACTTGAGATAGAACTGATTAATGCTTTAAACTTGCAACTTATTTTCTTTCTTTTTTGAACATGTTTGGCCAACTTGTCCTCAATGTCCAGTGAGTAATATAGCCGATTTGGTAAAAATAGGACAAGCTTCTTTTGTCAAGTATTAACTATCGTTCTTTAAAAAACAGTACAGGAACAGAGATGTGAATGCTGCTACAAGCATGAGAAAAATTCTCGTTGTTTACATTATAAGAAGGATTTGACATTAACTCGAGACCATTCGAGTTATCTCGCCGTCAAGCCCAAGATGCTGGAGTTTAGATAAACTTCATTAGCCGTGAAAGACTCAGTAGCGAACCTTTGTAAGTAGAAGAAAAACAAAATGATTTATTCACAGTCACATATTAACGTCATCGCTTCGCACTCGGGTTTTTCTCTTTTATTTTTTTTTTTATTTGTGTGTGATATAAGCGTATATTGAGTTATACGCGACTTAATTAAAAGAGAGGGACAACCAATAATAAAGGTAAAACGATAGTTTATTAGACCTTTTATGACATGTGCACATCAATCTTTTGTTTGTAACAGACATTGAGTTCATAAATACACATTTCAGCATGTTTTTTTTGGTAAAGATATTACTATTACTATACACTAGTTTCAACAGATTTTGGTTAAATTGTTGACATTATTACAGAAAGAGCTATCACATACAATCACATTACATCCTTCTTACTTTGGACCCAACATGCAAGACAAAATACGGGAGAAATTATATGCAGATGTAGAAGGAACTTGCTCAGGTCGATATGGTTATGTAGTGACAGTTGTGTCTATATCGAGATTAGAGAAAGGAAAAGTATTACCAGGATCAGGTCTAGCAGAATTCAAAGTAACCTATCAAGCTATCTTGTTTAAACCTTTCAAGGGAGAAGTGCTAGACGGTATTGTAACAACAGTCAACAAGGTAATGCGTTAACCGAATAGATGACACAATCTAACATTTAAAAAAGATGGGTTTCTTTGTCGATGTAGGGCCTTTACAAGTATTTGTTTCAAGTCATGTAAGATTGGAAGACAGCATTATATATAATGATGTTTACATTCTGTAGTTAATACCAAGTGAATTCAAATTTGACGTCAATGGCAACCCACCGTGTTACTCGTCTGAAGATCAAGTAAATAACTGATATAGGCTCAATTGAGCAACAAATTGTTAAACTGATGCAAAATTATAGGTGATACAGAAAGATGTCCGTGTTCGATTAAAATTAGTAGGAACGCGTGTAGATGCAACTGAAATTGTAAGTATAAAACATACCGATGGGTCATATGCTTACAGCACGCTTTAGTTTGCAATTGGCACAATCAAGGAAGACTATTTGGGTGTACTTCCTGGTCAATAAAAAGCATTTATGTAAATAAAATTGTAGATCCAATAATAACAAGAATGTGATACACGAACATAAACTTGTCAATCGCTCATAGGCTCAAGGGAAGAGAGGGAAGGGAAAGGGGGAGAATAAGACACCGTATTCTGAAAGGATGATGTTACAAGCAGTCAAGTAAATAACGCAAGATCGTATACAAATGTATTCAATATGTTTGATGAAATCAATCACACAAATACATTCTCTCCTTATTTCGCCCTTTTGTTCTCTCTCTCATTGATCTTGATCAAATTGATCAAGTATGTCGCGATTGTATATTTTATGAGCTCTGATTGGCTGATTTCTTAGTTTTTACCACCTTTCATTGGCTAAACCTTGTGGCTTCGATTGATTTTTTTTTTAACCCAAAAAAGCCCAAATATAAAGCAAGCAGCAAGTCAAACCCTTTTTTCTTTTCTTAAAACTTTTCTTGTTTCTTAGTAATCAATTAACCATGAGCGAAACTTTCCTGTTTACTTCTGAATCTGTTGGTGAAGGCCACCCCGGTAAGGAGCAATAGTAAAGCAAATTAAATGTGCTTTTACTAATTGATAAGAACAGACAAGATCTGTGATCAAGTCTCTGATGCTATCTTGGATGCCTGTTTAGCTCAAGACCCTATGTCCAAGGTTGCCTGTGAAACTGCTTCCAAGACTGGTATGATCATGGTTTTTGGTGAAATCACCACCAAGGCCAACCTTGACTACCAAAAGATCATTCGTAACACCATCAAGCAAATTGGTTATGATGATTCCGATAAGGGTTTCGACTACAAGACCTGTAACGTCTTGGTTGCTATCGAACAACAATCACCTGATATCGCCCAAGGTCTCGTTCAAAAGTCCTTCAACATTGAAGATATTGGTGCTGGTGATCAAGGCATTATGTTTGGGTATTGTGTACAACATTATTTTTCGCACGATAAGCGCAAATACGCTAACACCTTATTAGTTATGCCACAGATGAAACACCCGAAATGATGCCCTTGTCCTGTGTTCTCTCACACAAGTTGAACAAGCGTATGGCTGACCTCCGTCGTGACGGTACCCTCGCTTGGTTGCGTCCTGACTCCAAGACTCAGGTTACTATTGAATACAAGAACGACAATGGTGCCATGGTTCCTCTTCGTGTTGATACCGTTGTCATTTCTGTTCAACATGCCGCCGAAGTTGAAACTGAAGACCTTCGTAAGGCCTTGATGGAACACGTCGTCAAGCCCGTTATCCCTGAACATCTCTTGAAGGATACTGTCTACCACTTGCAGCCCTCTGGTAAGTTCATCATTGGTGGTCCTCAAGGTGATGCCGGTTTGACTGGTCGTAAGATTATTGTTGATACTTATGGGTAAGTTCATCTAAAGTATGGAGGGAGGCAGGTCACAGGGGGATGCTGTATGTATGTGCGTGTACTTGTGTGCCTGTCAGAAAAAAATTTTTGAGCTAGAAAATTTTTTTTTCTCCTCCTTTACTGTTACTATTTTTTATATTGGATGATATTCTAATATTTTATTCAATTTTTAGTGGTTGGGGTGCTCACGGTGGTGGTGCCTTCTCCGGTAAGGATTGGTCCAAGGTCGATCGTTCCGCTGCCTACACTGCTCGTTGGATCGCTAAGTCTTTGGTTCATGCCAAGCTTGCTCGTCGTGCTCTTGTACAACTCTCTTATGCTATTGGTGTTGCTGAACCTCTTTCCATCTTTGTTGATACCTACGGTACCTCCAGCAAGACTCAAGAAGAATTGGTTCAAATCATTCGCAACAACTTTGACCTCCGTCCTGGTGTCATCGTCAAGGAACTCGATCTCTTCAAGCCCATCTATCAACAAACCGCTGCTTACGGTCACTTTGGTCGTGAAGAATTCACTTGGGAAAAGCCCAAGGAACTCAAGCTCTAATTGTCATCATCCTCTTTTTTTACATAGTCTTTATTTAATTGTTAGATATCTTATATCATATATACTCGTTTAAAAATGTTGAATTTTGTATAAAAATCGTCATGCACTATTTTCACAGTTCAAAAATAAAAAAATAGATCGCTTAAACATACAAATGTGGGAAAAAATACTTGTTACTTTAGTATAAATCACTTGGTTACAAGCTAGGACAAAGTACAATGTGATTGTGAAAGTAATACACATTAGGTCTGTTTGTTGATACATGGGTCTTGTAAACAATATTTTGTGTAACATAGGATACAGCAATTACAGTAATGCATGCAGAGATATCAATGCTGGGGTGTGAGTGACTTGGCAATGTCAAATGTTATGCAGGGTACATAACCTGTTGAAGAATTGTATTTTGATTCATTCTGCTACAACATTAATCATTACTGTGATGCATTACGTTCCCTATTTGATCAAGACAGCTAGCAGATTTTCATTGTTTCAATTTTTATAGCTTACAGACGGAAACTCGTTCTCAATTGAGCATTTTATTATTGTATACTACACTGGCCGTACTGCTTTCTGTTTAAAGAATACATAACCATACCTTGCACATATATTTATTGATATTCAACTAGTATTAATAGCTTTATATAAATCGAATATGGTAGAATAAACAAAAAATAATCGTGGGTGCTTTAAAGAACAATTCAAGAAAATGGACAACGACCAGATGCTCCTCTGTTATGATCAGATGGTCCAAGCTCAGAAATTCTGTATCCTTTTTTATAGATATAAACGCCATTTGCAAAATATCCAGGTACGTTCTTTCCTTCTTGATTGACATCAAAGGAAGTACGAAGAACAAGTCTTTGGCGTGGGAGCATGCAGTGACGTATAAAAAACGCGCGAGTAAAAAGTGAAGCTTCCAAGATACGAGTGCATGTCTTGTTCTCAGCCGGTAGGTTTAAAGCAGCAGCATCACGAGGATGAAGCACGGAGGGTAAGAGACAGATGACCCCTTTGAATAGTTTGTTTGCTATACATGTCGGAAGGCTATTTAAGAGATATTGGAGCGTTGGGACAGCAACTGCCCAATTGGTAGAAGCATTGCGTACATTTTCTTCTGCATAATGCTACATACAAAATGATTTATAAAGTTACCCTACTACTCTTTTCATTTGTATCTCTACCTCATAGAAGCTCTGCATATCCTTAAAATTACTAGGAATATCCTTAATGTTCATCGACACGCCCACATCATACCACACTTTAAAGATAGCCTAAAGATGCAAGTTATAGGCATGTCATTCTTGTTATTACAAAAATTACATTGATCTCCCTTTCGTCCAACTTTCGCCATTCATACGTGTTGATCCACTTGATGGGCTCCACAATAAATAGAGCAAGAGTATAAAGATAGTCCCCGTTTGAGATGTTGTACCTGCCATGTATTTCATTAATACGATCGATGGCCTCTTTGGCGCGATCCCATTGCCTTTGGATCTCTGAGCGAGAAATATCTGGACACACGGCAAGCTTTGCATCAATTCGGCCAAATGCATTGACAACTTCAGCAAGTAAAAGTGCCGTATCTTCGGCTCGGCGTCCTGCATCCTGAGAGAATTGCTTGGTAGCTACTAAAAGCTTTGAAATAGAGGGAACTGTGTAAGTCTTGAATAAGGCTAATTCTAATGCCTTTTCAAAAAGATCTGTTTATAGTCAGTATCTTTTCTTATTCTCCTGTAGCCTTTTACTTACAAGGAAACTCTTTACATGCTGTGATTGTGTATATAAACTGAGCTGCAGCAGAGTCCGTTAAGACTTGATCTGGGTTGGGATATCTTTTACGTATGAGGTTTAAATTTTTGTATCGCAAGCGTCGTACAACAATCAGATAAGTTAACGCTGATAAAATAGTCGCTGTTGATACCAAGCGAACATTGCTTAGATGAGAATAAAGTCTAAAGACTGGTTGGAAATAATAGTTCATTTACAATTATTAAATAGGAGAAAAAGGGGAGATATGTATTATTATCCTTTCAATAAATAAATCGGCGAAATTTTCTCTCTTTATCAACAGAGAAATCACAAGGAACTAAAAGGAAAGGGGTGGTGGCGTTTCCAGAACCTTAAATGGTAATATCTAGCCATTGTAACACCTCAATCCTATAACTTATGTTGCTTGTGTTAAGCAGCAAAAAGATACTAATTTTCCATTTCAATTTACATCCTGCTACCCATATTGAGAAGTATATCCTGTATGCTATTTATAAAAGCAGTAACAGCCTATCCTAAGTTTGGCATATAATTTTTTTATTTTATTTTATTTTAAATTGATAAATTTTACAATCGTTTCATTTTAGATTAAAACATTGTATAGCAGCAAGCTTCGCTTGATTCAATAGCTCATTTATGCTTAATATATTATAAGTTTGATGGTTAATAAATATGTAACAAAAAGGAGTGTAATTTATTAGTTAAAGAAATGCTTTGCGTTTATCCTGTAAATGAAATATTCGTCCTTGGTCTACCAATTCTACTTGCTTTTGTCTTTTTCACTTGGGGCGTCGATGCCCCACTAGAGTCGTCGTCTAGTATGATATCTTCTCCTGCGCTAAATAATCGATCTACATTGGCTGAACTAAGAGTGGGCGTTGAGTCACCTCCTGCAGATCGTTTGATTCGCTTCGTCTGTCGTTTCTTTTGTTCTTCGTCTTCATCTGCTTTTCGTTTTAGTTGTTGCTGTAACTTGTCGTCCAGTTCTTCATCATCCAATAGCAGTGATACAATTTCTCTTGGCTTAAAGTCGACTTGTCTGAACTCACCACCAGAAATGACGACTTTTTGAATCTACACATATACTATAAGGAAAGGAACTTCTTATTTTGAATTTGTTGCTACATACCTCATCCTTTTGCTTGGCTCTCTGAAGGATTCTTTCTTCAATCGTATTTCTTGTAATCAGACGGTATACAGTTACTTGTTTTGTTTGACCTAATCGATGAGCACGATCCATTGCCTGTTGATCCACGGTGGGGTTCCAGTCACTGTCATAAAAGATAACGGTATCTGCAGCTGTCAGGTTAATACCTAAACCACCAGCACGTGTACTAAGCAAGAATATAAAGATCTCAGGCCTTGTCTGCCAGTCCTGAACCATATCTCTTCTTTCTGATATCTTGGAAGAACCATCCAGACGAAGATATTTGTACTGCTTGTACGAAATATATTCTTCAAACAAATCAATCATTTTTGTCATCTGGAAATAGACAAGGCATCGGTGATTTTCAGACTTTAGTTTTTCCAGCAGTTTATCCAAAGTAGCCAACTTGCCAGAGTCAAGGATAACGTCCTTCATGGCTAAGCAATATAAAAGATGAGCTATCATGATATATTCTACGTTTTATATCAAAAACTTACATGGTATTTTCATCCAAGAGAAGCCATGTCCTGTAGCAGGAACTGTCATGATGCCAGTCTCTGATTTTCGAACAACACTGGATAGATTACATGCTTGTTCAGGTGTCTGCTTACTTATATACTTGGGTGTGCCAAAGAAACATGCTCTGATGTCTGTATTAAACATAATATTTCGCTTTTCTCTAATAAATGATACATCATCACAAACGATATCTATAGGTACAGCTCTGGCCTATCGTATAGTAAAGTGAAAATGTCAGTGAAATAGCCCAAAAGGAAAAGAGAACATGATAACTTACAGGCGGTAGGAAAAATTGATCAAATAGACTTGCAGGGTGCACCAGTTTATCAGAAACATGCGTCAGTTCATCTAATGCTGATCCTGGTGTGATGACATAAGGGGATGTAGACGTTTCTATATCGGATATCAGCAGCATGCCATATGTATTAGCTGCTGAGGTAGGTTCATGTTGATAGAATCTTCGCCTTGCGCGTTGGTCTCGTTTAGCTAAATGCTCGATCCATCTTTCCACCAAGTTACCTTTGAATATATAGCCGGCCTCATACGGTGACATGTCTACAAATCTTAAAAATGAAAAAGCAGCGTCTGTTTTTGCTTGTTTGTTAGCCTTGTTACACATTTGTATACACTAACTTTACCTTTTTCATTTGAAAATTCAGATTGATGAATATAATCGCTGTTCCAAATGTTCATCAAGTTATCAAGATACTTGGTGTCAAAGCCTGCTCTTGTTTTGGGCCCAATTGTTTTCAACATGCCACCGTCACGATAGAGCTGCTTGGGAATATGGTACTTGATAGGATTTGTAGCCGAATAAGGACAGTAAAGATAGCTTTCTTTGGATAAAGAACCAGTTTCACTAAAGCTACAAAAGGAAAAAGGTGCTTGCACATCGCCACGCTCAAATAGTTCAGGATGGTTGCATACTTTACGGAACTGCATAACCAAATTCATCAAACTGTCCATACTCTCGTTGTCACTGAGGGAAGTTGCTTTTTCAAGCAATTCAGAAATGGATATTTTTTCTTTAAGTCCCCGATACAAAGCTCTTTGTCTCGCAGTCAGTTCACAAAACACTTCGACTTCAATCTGTTTTATAAAAATAAGTCCCTCGTCTCTTTTATAAATATATATATATATATATATTTACCTTTTCACCAAGTTCATGCTGAACATTACGTTTGATACGGCGCAACATGAAGGGCTTCAGGATCATATGAAGTCGACGAAGTTGGTGCTCATTAAGCGAGCCTTTATTTTCGGCATGACTTTCAATATCCTTTGAAAACCATTCACTAAACTCTTCGTGTGAATCAAATAAGGTAGGCATGATAAAGTGAAGCAGAGCCCACAGTTCTTGCATACTGTTCTGAATAGGTGTACCCGTAAGCAGCAGTCGGTTACGGCATTGGAAGCTAAGTAGTTGCTTCCAACGAGCGCTAGATGAACTCTTGATGGCTTGAGCTTCATCCAAGATCATGTATTGCCATTTTACACGTTGAAAGTAAGTTACATCCGTCAAGATAAGTTGATAACTTGTAATGACGATATGAAAAGGTGCATCTTTGCCATACAGCTGCTTACGACTCCAAAATTGACGTAACGTTTTACGATCTTTAGGATTACCCCAGTATGGAAGTGCCTAATGATTACCTTTGAGTTTTTGTTCATCTTTTAGCCAAAAATAGAGCTTACCCTAAATTGAGGAACAAACTTTGTAAATTCTTGTTGCCAATTATGCAATGTAGAAGCAGGTGCAATTACAAGAAAGGGACCCCAGATATTATGTACCTCTGCAAGATATGCCAGTAATGAGATAGATTGGACAGTCTATGAATATAAAATTGAAATCAATATACAATCGACGTCTTTAACCATGTTCATTTACCTTTCCTAACCCCATTTCATCAGCAAGAATGCCATTGATACCTTGCTCATACAAATTGGCGAGCCAGTTGAGACCCTTGAGTTGGTAGCTTTTAAGTTGACACATCAACATGCTAGGCTGTTTTACTTCAGGACCAGATCCCATACTAGAAGGCTCCTGGAAGTTCATATCATCAAGTGCCGTTTGATTGACATTGACATCATCACCAGCTGCGATACGTCTTTCACGAGCACCAACATCAAATTCTCTTGTCTTTTCACGTTGTTTGGCCAAGGCATTCTGTGCACTTAATCTTGCCTTTTCTTTGAGCACAGCTTCATCATCTTCATCAAAATCAACCGCTCCAAGATTTGTAATACCAGCCTGTTCATCCAGTTCATCTTGTGGCAAAACAGGTTCTAAAGGAGTAGATAATCCTGAAGGCGCTGGTTGTGCCGTTTCTTCATCTTCTTCTGTATCCTGCTTAATCTTCCTTCCAATAAAGTGACTGTAGAGTTCTGTTTGAGTGATCAAGAAATTCAATTTACGAGCTTGTCGTTGAGCTTCTCTACGCTCTTCTTCTTGCTTCAATCGATCAAGTGCTTCTTTCTCGGCCTTCTTTCTAAGCTCACGCTCTTCCTTTTCGTTCTTCTTCCAGAATAACAACATTTCTTTACTAACACGTTTAGCTTTATTCTGCAGATCACGGTTGGCACGTCCACCATTTGTGGCTGCTCGTCGCACTTCCTTTTGGCAATACTGTGCGATCTTTTTGCAGTTGCCTGATCGAGTTGCTTGTACACGAGAAAGAATACGGTTCATCTAAAAGAGAAAGATGAGTTTATAAATACAGATCAACAAAATTATATAATTACTCTTGGAATATCCTTCTTGACAATATGTGCCCAAATCTGCTTTCTTTCACTTTCCACTCTGCGGTCGCTTGGCTGTCTATGATCTTGATATTCAGTCTCAGATTCTGAAGATAGGTCTAACATGTCGTCATATCCATTATATTTTGATCTTCTTTGACGTTTAAATTTCATCTTTCGTTTGATTAGATCAGCTTTTGGCATTGAAGTACCATATTTCTTTTCATACAACTGCTCAAGACGGACTCTCATTCTAGCTCGTCTTGCCTAATATACGGTATAAATAAATGTACAGCAACTATATTCCCAAAAACTCACATTAGCTTTCTTTTCGTACTCTTCAATCACTTGCTTTCCTCGTCTATGATTGTTAAGCATGAATTGGATCATTTCCTCTTTATGGACTAAAAACACTTCATCGTCATCGTCATCTGAATAAAGGCTCATCTCTTCACGAATGCGGTCCACTCGAGATTTACTTTCTGATTTCTTCATGTCGGTGTCAGTAAAATCATCATCCGCAGAAGAATCGGTATCTTCACCTTGAATCATTTTGGGCTACATATAATCGTTGTTATCTATCTGAAGAACATATAATAAAAATGGCTTACTTTTTGCTCCAAGGTAGCATCTGAGGATGATTGCTCTGTGATCATATTAAGATCGCTAGTAGAAGCAACTCCATTTGCATTTGAAGTAAGAGCACTAGAGGTAGCAGTAGTAGTAGTAGTAGCCGTGGGCTCTTCGTTATCTGTATCTGTATCGGCCATCTCATACTTTGCCTCGAACTCATTATTTAATAAACTCTGAATACCATTATTGCGGCGATGTTGGCTGTCGTTATTAAATAGTGCATTATTAGGAGATGTAACACCCGGCCTTACAGTGGATGAGGCAGGCTGTTCTGCGTTATCTGAAGAAAGCAGCTGTGATATAGACATGATAGGAGGCATCACGGGTTGATTGCTGTTGTTACTGTTGTTATTATTACTGTTATTACGTTCCTGTAAGGTCTAGTTTAGTATATGATTTACATCCATTTGTTTGTGTATAAGCTTTACATAGTTGGTTGGAACATAAGGCACTTCTGCAGCCTACAAAGAAGAAAGAGAGATTAGCAATAGGATATTTTTATATTATCTGTTTTTTTACCTGTAAATAATGAGGATGACTATTGCCGATACTAGTACTGTTACTACGAATAGGATCATAAGGAATATGTGGTTGCGCTTGACGAGAATAATTATAATCAATTGGTTCATATCGACGTACGTTCTAATAAGTCTTGTTATTTATTTTGTCATTTAATAACCTATTCTTCTTACTTGTCCCCAAGATGGTGATGGTTGTGCATAAGTCGTAGGTGGAGGAACATAATTGGGTGGATACTCTCTCTGTGTCGTTGGAGGATAGTTGATAGGATAATATGTCCTTACATTAGGGTTACGTCTATTGGCATACTCCCACTCTTCTGTGGCAGTGCTGAATCCTCGCTGTTCAGGTTGTGCCTGTTGAGATTGATTAGGTTGATCAAACGCCATTCATAAAATTGTGCAATCTGTTCAAATTCTCTTTTTTAAAGAAAAAGAAAAGAAAGAAAAAAGTTTAAGCGCGCGCCTTATTTTATTTTTTTTTTCTCTGTTTTCCAGGCGACCTCTGCTTGGAAGTGTATATTTTTTTTTTCATGGTAGTTTGCGCTACTTTAATTTTATAACGAATGAAAATGTTCTCATAACTCTTTTAGTAGCTGATCTGCCATTAAAAAAAAACAAAACAAAATGTGCAGAAAGCATATCCTTGTTTCTCGAGTCGGTCCTGTAGAAGCTATCGTTTATTTAATGGCTCATCTTTCCCCCTTAAATTTCATTAGAATAAACAATTGTCCTCAGTTTAGTTTGCCTTTTACAAGAGAGAGAGGGAATGTGATCTTTGATTATTTCTATATGTTTACCTTAATCATCTGTTAACAGAAAATTATACAGGCTCAAACAGTGTTATTGCTTACTTTATCACAGCTTCATGTTGTATATTAACTTTGTAAAAATAATAAATGCTTTATAGCTGTACACTTTTGATATAAATGCTTAATCCTAGGGAAATACACACATATTCACACCACACATCAATCTTTAGAATTTATTATTCTTCTTGAACTTCATTTAATTCAATATAGCTAACTTCTACTTGACCATTACTTTGAATCTCTTCAAAAGACTTGTCGTCGTCATGGTTATCAGTCTCCTTGGCAATAGCTTCTTGAGCAGCCTGTTCCTCTTCTTCTCTCATTCTACGTAATGCTTCTTCTTTAGCCACTCGTTCTTGTTCTTCTCTAGCTTGTTGAGCCTTTTCTTCTTCGATTCTCTTTCTTTCTTCTTCCTCGGCTTTCTTTCTTTCCTCTTCTTCACGAGCCAATCTCTCTTTTTCTTCTCTTTCCAGTCTTGCCTTTTCTTTAGCTGCCTCCTCTCTCTTGGTTGCTTCCTTTTTCACTCTTTCATTACAGATATCCAGTCGACGGAAGAGTTCGTTAATAGAATCAATCACATTTCGTTTCTTGTTCTTCAAGTTATCGACCAGCTGTCTCTCAAACTCTGTAGGTTCAAGATCTTGTCCGACAACAAGTGTTAAGGGTCGAACCGCGTCGAGCTGTTCCATAAGACGAAGAAGAAGTTCGTTTGAGTGAGCTAAAGTATACTCCTTTTGCTTGAATGCCTTGTCATCACAGTCCAATTCGATGATGGGTTCAACACTACTGATGCTTGATTCAATGACCTGTTGTTGTGATTGAATTTGATCTAATAGACGAAGAGTCGCGCGTTCAGCTTGTTTAGCTGTTCTTCTTCGTTTGGCTCGTTTATCGTCTTCTATAACATAGTATACAAGACTGGTACCCAATACAGCAACTAAGGTTGCAGCTGCACCATATATTAATAAAGAACGTCTATTGTCAGCCATCTTTTGCTATACAAGAGAAAGAGAAAGAGAAAAAAAAATGCACTATAACCAGTTCAGTCACATCCCCTGGCTTTTTTTTTCCTGTCAACTTCAAACGGTAGAAAGTTTATTTTCAATTTATTTAAAAGAAAAGAAAATAGACTCAAAAGAAAAGGGATAATCGAATATATCAACAACAGAAACTTGTAAAAAGATACTGCTGTAAGTCAGTATTTATGCCGTAGATATGAAGGTTGCTGTTGTCTCCACAACTATTACCATTGACCGGTTTAATTTCCGGTTTCATATAGAAGAGAGGATTATTCCATTCCGTGATCCAATCATTTGCTTTAAAAGCAGCTGCCATGTTAATTTAAACACCGTAGTAATACAAGACTGACATGTCGAGCTACAAGTCCTCAGCTTTGCAGTTTAGCCCACTTTTGAAATAGATAAAGAGAGAGTTGTTTATACATATTTTATTTTCTTTTTTACATAAAGGACAGCAGGAAAGAGAAGAGAGAGGGGTATATGTTATCTACAATAAATATTATTCAGTTAGAGAATAGTCTAAATTCCATATTCTGGCTGTAAAATCTTCAGAACAGCTAACAAACTATCGAGGTGTTAGCTCTTTCCTTTTTCATTCGTTATTAAACAACTTGCCTGTTTCATCGAATATTTATTCCACGCAACTCCGGTTACTTTTCTCGTATGCCCTTCAAACTTGTGGGCCTTTTTCTGATTTCCATCTATTTCCCATACAAAAATATCTTTATCATATGAGCCAGCCATGATGAACTGATCGTCAGGAGATATGGATATCCTAATATCAAAACTTCCCAATTTAAATTCCTCGTCTGTATATTTGATTGCTGGCTTTGTTAAATCCGTTAGGTAATGCATATATATGCTATTATCCATGCAGGAACTAAACAATCTTGTCCCACTGCTGTCTACTTTTAAATCCGTAATACCATGTCTTTTTCCTGCTTCATTTTTGAATTCTGTTGATTCCAAGACTTGTGAACTTCTGCCTGCCCTCACATCCCATAATTTAATCGTACCATCAACGCTTCCTGAAGTGATCACTTTTTCTTCATGGTTGTTTATAAAGATGGCACTTGTCACTGATCTGATAACCTTCATACGGAATGTTAGTTTTTGAAAAAAGAAAAGCAAGTGATTATATCTTACAAGAGGTTTTAATCCTGACTTTTTTGTTGACCGTGAGCCTTGATTGATATCATGAGCATTCATGGTGGTTTTGATGGGACTGTAGATCGGTATATCAGGTGAATCCGCTGTAAAGCCTCCTTGTTAGCATAAGGTTTAATCATGCGCCCTTTTTTATTTTATTCTACCTGAGTCTGTCCCTGGCTTTTGATTAAACCTTGTATCCCAAATACGAAAAGACCCGTCCTTTGATCCAGTGATGATCAAGTCTACAACAAAAAATTCAATTAAAGGAAAAATACAAGAATAAGATATGAGTACATACGTTGATTTGTAGGATGCCAATTGACAGATTTGATGATATCATCATGTCCTGCAAAATCAGCTAAACTTGATCGTGTCTCAGTATCCCAAAGGCGAACAAGCCGATCATGAGAAGCAGTGAGTAATAGGCTGTCGTCTGCACTCCATTTGACATCAGATATTGCATGTTTATGACAATAAAATGAGTGATGAAATTGCGAGTTGTTGATACTGTTGTCTTTATCTGTTCTCAATAGAGACACACGACCTTCTTCATCCCCAATCGCTACTAAATGACCATCATAAGCTGAATTGGCAAAGTCGCAGTAAAAAGGTGTGCAAAATTCGCTGTCTGGAAATACAAACTGATAGATATGATTATTGACGCTTGTGAATAATGATAGAATATGTTTTGAAGGCACTATGTTTTTATGTTAATCCCTTCACTTTTTCTTTTTCTTTCAATTATAAACCTCTAAATCTTCTTCCAAACGATCTGTCATTTTTTAAAGATCTAAGCTTAATTGCCTCATAGAGGCTACATCTCGGTTTAATTATTCGACTCTTCTTCAAATCGGTTGACATTAACAAGTCAACGAACGACAGATACTAAAAACGGTAAATACACGTAAAAAAGAATATCTCTTTTTTTTCTCTCTCTCTACGCGACTGATCATGAATTTCAGTTACAAAATGACTGTCATTTTACAGTTTATTAAAAAAAAATACACATTTTAACTCTACCTGTAAATATGTAAATTCTTCTCTGGGGAAGAAGACAGCGATATTAAACCCGACAAGGATGGCGAAAAGGATGTGATAAGACACTTTCGGAAATAAAACGCAGTGAAGTTATCGTGGATTTTTTTTTTTCGAAGCATTGATTTCTCGACTCCAAAACATCCCACAGCTCTTGCAAGCTAGAATATTTGTTAAACCAATATAAGCAAACATCATTTCTTGTTTTTGGCACTCATAACACATCTTTTCATAAACCTTAGTGTCTAGTATTTCTTATATTTATTTTTTTGTTTATGCAAATCTCATATTAAAAGTGTTGAACTCGTCAACGTAAGCCACCAGCCATTTTCCTCCATTTTCTCTTTGTATCAGCTCTATCGAACAAAACACCAGTGATATCAACCTGCTATCCGTTTTATCTTGAGAGCGTCTTTGTCTTTCACACCATTGCCGAAAGCAATAATGAGCAATTTAGCAGCACCCAATATCTAAACAAATGCATGCAGGAATAAAGACAATTCTGTATTGAAATTTTATCTTATATGTGCACATCAACTTACAGGACTAAAAAATAAAAGACACCTTCTCCTCAATAAACATTACAATAGCATGTCCCATTATGAAAATTTTAAGAGGACAGTTAGCACAACACTAAAGGGCGATTTTTAAAATTCTCAAAAGGCGGCCTCTTCGATCCTCAGTAGATATTTTTTACAGCTGTTCACAAATAATTAACATTTTTGTGCAGTCCTGAAAAGCATTATGTAATATGGTACGGCAGACTTCTACGCCGAAGAAACTGCTTGCCCTCTGGCCTTTATTGGAAGCTCAATGATGTGGTTCTCTATGTTGATACTAAGTATATTCACCCCCGTTTTATGAAAGGCCATTTCCCACTCCCAGCTGATACAGTAAAAAATACTGTCGTCTGCCAAGATCTTTCTCCGACGAAGGGCAGGGTTCATATGTAGTTGTCATTATGATTTTCTTGTATGAACAAGTTTTTTTTGTTCTAAACAAGATACTGAGGATCGAAGAGACCGCATTTTGAGAAAATTGTAACCGCCCTCTTGAAAAAAATTCTGCCTATTGAGAATTTTAAAAACCGTCTTTTAGTGTTGCGCTAACTGGAATCCTTTTTTTTTTTTTTCATTTGTTTAGTTTAATGATTAGTTTAATAACATTTACGCGAAGCAGATTAAGCTATCATCATATGCCCGAAGAACTCAGACATCCGTAAGACTGCCCAGCTCGCGTGTAACATTTCTCTGAGTGTCTGATTCAATTGGCCTATCAAGAGTAGGAGACAAGCCATATAAAAAAATCAAACACAGTTTAAAACATACCGTTTCTCAGCTCGGTTTTCCGCGTGAGCTTTCGTCTCAGATTGTCTTCAGTACAACTTGTGGTATTTGCTTAGAGAATGAAAAATAAATTACAATTGTTATCAAGATGATGATTTCATTTTTCTTTGCCTTGGTCAGCAAATATTCTTAAAAAGGAAGAACAAGATGATAGTACATCAACTCATACAACTATAATTATTGTAAACAAACAGTCATATCACTGCAATTTTGTGTTGGGGCTTTCTTAATGTATTTTTGTAAATGATCAAGATTGCTTGAAATTAACAGATTAACTGTAAAATGTCAGATTGAGATCTTTTTGTAAACATAAAGAAATATAGTATTAAATGCACTAAGTTATATATTGCATAAATAATATGCAAGGGATAAGCAAGATGACAGAAAAGTAGATCCAATTCTGTCTTGGCAAAATTACGCTTTTATTTTGAGAGAGTAATATAAAGCTACGATAGAAAACACACAATCATTATAAGCTCACAACCTCTTTTTGGTACCAGCCTTTTACCCTCAAATAAAAAAAAAAAAAAAAGGAATTAGAATATATGTTTATCTTGACAAAAACAACCTTTTTGCCAACCTAAAATGAGGAGGAGAGAGGATGTATTATAAATGAAAGGAGGCCTCTTCTTTTTCCCACTACTTTTGTGTAAATTAACGTTTGACTCCCTAAAGCTGTTGAACAAAAAGGATCCTGTCAGCCTTGACTTTATCGAAATAATATTATTCACTAGACAACTGCCAAGAAAAAGGGATACACGTACCCGTTATCTGGAATTTTATCGACGATTGGACAATCAATTACAAACAAATACATTTAAAAGGATTGGCATTTAATAAAGACAATAATCGGCACATGCGGACATGCAACCTATATGTACGTGTACGATGCAAATCATCAACAAAACTGCCGTTAATTCTTTCTTCTCTTTCGATCAATTAGTTTTTTAATTAACAAAAAATATGTATAAAAACACACATCACTTCTTTTCTTTCTCCCCTTTTCATCACATTGACTTTATTTATTGAATCAATACAAAAATGACTTATCCTGACCAAGAAGAACTCGAATTTCAGCAAGAGGTTGAAAAAGTGAAACAATGGTGGTCCTCACCTCGTTTTGCCCATGTAAAACGCCCCTATACTGCTGAAGCCATTGTCTCTAAGCGTGGTACTTTCCCCACAGCCTATCGCTCTGATATATTGGCCAAGAAGCTTTGGAACATTCTCCAGGTCAACAAAGCTAACGGCACTACCTCCCATACATTTGGCGCACTTGATCCTGTCCAAGTCACACAAATGGCTCCTCACCTGGATACCGTGTACGTCTCCGGTTGGCAATGTTCTTCTACTGCCTCCACCTCCAATGAACCTGGGCCTGATCTTGCTGACTATCCCATGGACACAGTTCCCAATAAGGTCGAGCATCTCTTCTTTGCTCAACTTTTTCACGACAGAAAGCAGCGTGAAGCTCGTTTGAGAATGTCACCCCAAGAAAGAGCTAAAACTCTCAAGATTGACTACTTGCGACCTATCATTGCTGATGCCGATTCTGGTCATGGTGGTATTACTGCTGTTATGAAGCTAGCAAAGATGTTTGTCGAACGTGGCGCTGCTGGTATTCATAGTAAGCTATCGTAAACGCAAAGTAAATGAGAGTATATATACTCATTCATATGTTTATAGTCGAAGATCAATCCCCATCTACAAAGAAATGTGGCCATATGGCTGGTAAAGTACTTGTTCCTATTGCTGAACACATCAATCGTTTAGTGGCCATCCGTGCTCAATTTGATATTATGGGAGTTGAAAATGTTGTCGTTGCTCGTACTGATGCTGAAGCTGCTACTCTTATCACTACAAACATTGACCCTCGTGATCATGAGTTCATTGTAGGCTGCACCAATCCTGATCTTAAACCATTGGCTACTATCATGCATGAAGCTGAAAGTAAAGGTATGTATGGTGCTCAACTTCAAGCCATTGAAGATGACTGGATCGCTAAGGCTGGCCTTAAGCGCTATGGTACTGCCGCGGCTGATAAATTGAAGGCAACTGGTAAGGGACATCTGGCTACCAAGTTCTTATCCGAGATTCGTTTCAAGTCCAATACAGAGGCTCGTGAAGTTGCCAAAAAGTACGGCATTGACATCTTTTGGGATTGGGACAGCTGCAGAGTACGTGAAGGCTTTTTCCGTTATGAAGGTGGTACTGAAGCTGCTATCTCTCGCGCCATTGCTTATGCCGAGTATGCTGATATGCTCTGGATGGAAACAAAGAAGCCTATCCTGGCACAAGCTGAGCAATTCTCAAAGGGTGTGCTCTCTAGTTCTCCTCACGCTTTATTATGCTATAATCTATCTCCTTCATTCAATTGGTAAGTTCCTTGGTGTTTTTCATTTATTGAAGCTGACATGGCTTCTATTAAAGGGATGCTGCAGGTTTAAATGACAATGATATGGGATCGTACATTAGCAATTTGGGAAGGCTTGGCTTCATATGGCAATTCATTACCTTGGGCGGTCTTCATGCTAATGCTTTGGCAACAGGTAAAATATATATATATATATGAATGATTTTCCTGTTTTTTCCTTCTAAATCTTTTTTACAGCTACATTTGCCAAGAGCTTTAAAGAAAGTGGTATGCATGGATATGTGACTCAAGTTCAGCGCCAAGAAAGAGAGCATGGTGTTGATGTATTGCAGCACCAAAAGTGGTCAGGAGCAACCTTTGTAGATGAAGTTATGAAGATGGTCACAGGTGGTATGTCTGCTACAGCGGCTATGGGTAAAGGTGTCACTGAAGACCAATTTAAGAACTAGTTCAAGTTTGCTAAAAGTATTTGTTAATATTTGCCGTATATATACGTACCTTTTTTTTTTGAACAACGTGTTTGTTTAAAGCATAAAATTGCTTTGTTAAATAAAAACGATATATCATATTCGATTCTCTTCTTTTGTGCATAATCACTTATAGAAATATTTTCAAAAGTATCTTGGCGGAAGAATAGATTTATCAATTGCCTATATGTTGAGTAATAATAGAAGCCTCGCTATATGTATATATAGAATGCTTTGAAGGTCAGGGATATTTATATTCTAATGTAATGACTTGCTTAGCGCTTTGTAGTGACCACCAGATCTTTAATAGATCAAATAAGTAATTGAGTAATAAAAGACAAATAAGGTAAATAAAAGTAGGAGTTTGAAAATGCTCTGACAGGTAATATAATTGTTATACCAAAATCAGAATTAAAGAAAAGAGAAAAAAAGGGGAAAAAAGGGGAAAAAAGGGGATTTTACTTTATAAAAAGATATAAAGGATTTATTGATGTTTCAATGAATAATTCTCCTGAGAACCAAAAACAAAGCAGTATTTATACTGTTCAAAAAGATAATTTGAAGTCAGTCATTCATGACACAGTGTCACTAGTGACTGACTTTAGAAGTGGGTGGGTGACACCGCATCTTCATCGTCGTTATCGTCACAATAATTTAAAATTCATTTGTTTGAACTTCATGAGGGTCACGAAGTTCATCTGTTTCAACTCTGCTATTGTTACAACAATGTCACTTTCTTGATTACAATACATGAGTTCATGTTCCTGGAGTAGTAGTTGACATTGTTGAATATATTGAAGGTGCTTGATTTATGATTTTTGAACTCAGACGAGGCAAAAATTGTTTCACTATTGTTACAACACTACACTGATCTTTCTCATTTTGAAGGAAAACTTTGGAATCCCTACATACACCCCATTGCTCGACAAGAAAAAATTGCGCGAACCGGGAATCGAACCCGGGCCCTTCGCGTGGCAGGCGAAGATTATACCACTTAACCATCCGCGCTTTCCGATGAAAGTATAAACATAAAAACCAATACATTATTTAAAAAATCACGTGACCTAGTTAGGCACGCTGGACCTTGTTGTGTTTTCGGGATCGAACTTTGAACGTGAATAACTCTATCAATTCTTTATGAAAAAGCGCCAGAAAAAGCTTAAACGATGCCTCAGATAAATATCTACAAGTGCCTATAAAGAAGCTTAGAGTTTGTTTGATATCTTTTCTTTTTTCTTGATTTTAATTTTTTAGCATAAAAATTTAATATACACTATAAAAATCTATTTTTTTTCAGAAACTAATGCAACAGCTACATCCAGCATAAAAATTAAAGTATAAAATCATTTTAAACTGCTCAGTTATCTATGTTTTTTATGGAGAAAATGCAGAAAATAAACAATAGCTATGTTTTGACATGGTACAAGCTGTCTAAATTTAGAAGGTGGAGCATTTTCAGCAAAAAGACTTAGAAAAAAAATAAAGAAAAAATAACATTGAATCTCAGCTACATGCCGGTAAGCGGATGTCAATTAGAGTAATGGAAGGAATGCAAGAATTCATGACTGAATGGAAGTTATTTCAGTTCTTTAAGGTAAGCTTTAAAATAATAGAACGTTTCTGTTTCATTTAAAAGACTTATTCGTAATATATGAAGAAAAAGCGAATTCTCTGTAATTTAGTCATTACGTTGGTCATTTAGAAATTAGAAGGCAAGTACAGTCTATACGCGTTATAGTGTAGTTTTTTATATTCATTTGCTGTTCTAACTAAGTGAAAAGTAAGCAGAAAAAGAAAAAGAAAAAGA